CAGGTAGGGGTGGGATTATATTCAGACAGAGAGATGGCAAACCCAAAGGCTAAAGACTAGGAGTCTCAAGAGTCCAAAGAAAAAAAATGACAAGTGGGAATACAATATTTTAATCCCTTTGGTCATTTATCCAAAAGATGGACCTGTAGCAACATACCCACTAATATCCTTGCTCTTAACCTATCCACGTAAACACTCCTTTTGGGGGACATGGGACACTCTCATTCTAGACTCTAGACAATACTAACACATGGTGAATAAATCCTCAGTCAGATGCCAACATGGTGAAAATGCGAACAAGGGGAGCTGGATGGTCTTTTGGAGAGTATTTCCACAAAGCAAAATAATTCCATTCTCTGCCTTGCCGGTTTTGTTTTGTGTTTGACAACTACTTAAACTCATGGGGACTTCATTCCTAAATAGCATAGAAGCCAGCTTTTTTTTTTTTAATTTGATTTTTCTAGATTCTGAAGTCCATACATTTCAAATTGCTTTATTACAATGCATTTTTAAAATATTGCAACCCCTAAATTTCCTCCTGAAAATATTTTAAAAATTATTACCCTTTTAGTTTGGCCTTTAGTTCACTGCTAATCTATACCCACACTAATAGTCTGTTATTTGTTTCTCATTCACCAGTCCACAGCTGATATGGCAGTTGCATAAGCAGTGGGGACCAGACCTATCTTGCTGCTCTGACGGCTTCAACATGGGCTTGTACCTCGTGGTCCAATACGCTCAGTGTCAGTCATTGCGTCTGCACTCCTGCCAGCAGGGAAGGACTTGCTTTTTCCGGTTAAGGATGCTTAGAAGTTAAACACATCACTTATGTTCATATCCCACTGTTCAGAATTAGAAGTACTACCTGAAGTCACCCCAAGCTCCAAGGGAGCCTGAGAGATGCCTTAATTTCTGAACAGTTATGTCTTTTACTCTACGTGAGAGAGGAAGAGCTATTAGTATATGATAAACATCTGTCCATTTGGGGAATTGTTACCTTCAGTCTCCTTGAATAGCTCTACCCAACCTTATCCACAAGCTTTTTGTTTTGTGTAATTTAGTAACAGGTTTATTGAGCGATAATTTACATTTGATATAATTCACCTACTTAAAGTGTACAATTCAATGGTTTTTAACATATTTAGAATTGTGCAACCATTACCACAATCAATTTTGGAATATGTTCGTCCTTCTCCCACCTAAATAAACGCCCTACCCACTCATTAGCTGTCACTTGTCTTTCCCCCTACCCTCTCCCAGCCCTAAGCAACCACTAATCTACCTTTTGTCTCCATGGATTTGACTATTCTGAACATTTCATATAAATGGAACCATCCAATATGTGGTCTTTAGAGACTGGCTTCTTTGGCTTCTCTCACTCTACATTTTCACGGTTCTCCCATGTTGTAACACTTATCAGTACCTCATTTTCATTTTATGGCCAAATCATATTCTACTGTATGGATATACATTTATTTGCACATTTATCAGTTGATGGACAGTTGGGTTGGGTCCACTTTTTAGCCATTCCAGATAAAGCTGCTATGAATACTTGTAAACAATTTTGTTTTTACGAGACAAGGTTTTGCTCTGTTGCCCAGGCTGGAAGACAGTGGTGCAATCATAGCTCACTAGAGTCTTGAACTCCTGGATTCAAGTGATCCTCCCACCTTGGTCTCCCAAAGCGCTGCAATTACAGGTATTAGCTACTGTGCCCGGACTACATACACATTTTTGCATGCACGTATGTTTTCATTTCTTTTGGGTCTGACCCTGGGAGAGGAATTACTGGGTTTTATGGCAGCTCTGTGTGTAACTTATTGCGGAAAAGGTAGACTCTTTCTAAAGTGGCTACATCATTTTACATTTTCACCAACGAGATATGAGGGTTCCAATTTTTTTACATCCTTGCAAACACTTGTTCTTATCTCACTTTCTGATTATAGCCATCTGAATGGACGTGAAGTGGTACCTCACTGTGGTTTTGATTTGCATTTCCCTAATCACTAATAATGTTAAGGGTTTTTTTCTTGTGCATATTGGCATTTATGTACCTTCTTGAAGAAAGTCTCTTTGGATCCTTGTTCCTCTTTAAGTTTTGAAATCTATTTTCTTTTTAAATATATAGTTCTATGTTGAGAGGTCACATCCTGCATACGAGGTTTTATTTTTCAGCTCCTAGAGAAAGCTAGGTCTTTTTATTTGTTGTGAAAAATTCAGTAAGTTTTTGAAAAGTCAGCAGTTACTCAGAAGTCATGTAATATGTGTAACTTGAAGATTTCATTCAGTACATGTGGAAAGACTGCGATTTTATCTGAAAGCAAAGAGCAGCAAACTACAGGACAAGATGGAACTTAAGTTTTTAGCTGAGTGTCCAAACATTAAGAGAAATAAGAGAAGTCATTATCTAGGCTGTTAAGTTTTTAATATTAATTTTAAGCAACAAGGTATGAAACCTTACTATTGGTTATTCAGAATGTTTAAAACGCATATGCAATTGGTAACTATAATTACTGACCATATTAATACAATCAAATGGCACAATTCAATTTTCTGTAATTATAAAATAAAAATAAGGCATTTAGTTAAAAATAATGCTTTTAATCTTTATAACTCTTTCCATAAACAATACTGAACAAAAATAAAAGGTGAAAAACATAACACACAAAATATTTTGCTTGAAATGTAAAATACAAAGTCAAATAAATACTGTATATAATTGTGGAATCCTACATCATTTCATTAGTGAAAATCTGTAAGTACAGTGAGGAAAAAAAGACAATATAGTGAGATGGAAAGAAGTGCTGACCCACATAGAGTTAATTACTTAACCTCCCTGACCTCAGTTTACAAATCTCTGAATAAAAAGGTCAAGTTGGATGGATGTCTGAAGCCTATCTCTAAAAGGTCTACTAATCTACAATAACTAAAAGGCAAAGCTTGTCTATGGAATTTTCTATGAAAATGTGTCTAGGAAAGGTAAGTAAGGAAGGCAGTCCCAAACCAGAAAGTCTGGTTCATCTTATTTAAGTAAAGGTGATCAATAAGGACATATTCTAATTGCCAAAATCGTTTTTCAAATGTTTTGCTTTGTTTTGAGTAGGTATGTGACTCTAGCATTTCCCAAGTTTTCACAGTATTTCACAAAATCCACTGTGTTTACATGCTTGGGAAAACAACAGGTTGAAGAGTTGTGGTACTCTTTTAGTTACTTATTGAAAACCCATTCCCTATTTCTTCCTTAGTTTAATGTTAATTTGATTTAAGGCAGCAATATGCCAGCTTCCACAGTGCTGAACTAGGACTGGCCCAAGTTAATCACTGCAATCCTGTTTTCTGCTTTCCCAGCCTCCCTTGCAGCTATCAGTGGCTAAATCAATGTGTATGGCCACGGAATCCTATCCTTTCCAGAAATATCTCCAGGGATTACTTTCCCAAAGAGTATGGTGACCTAGGTTAACTTTATTACAAATAGTAGATAAACACAGTAAAACCAGTGTTAATTTTTCAGGCATTTCTCCTATAAACCATTTACACTGGTTTTTTTGGATAAATAAAAACTTATCCATGCATTTGTGTACTTGGTCATACCTTGCCCCTATTCTTGAAAAGAATTTAAAATGAATGAAAAATCTGTTGGCCAAGAAGGTGCCTGTCAATTAAACCCCTTGTCTACCATACGCCTAGAGAACATGAGAATTCATGAAATATAGCATTCATGTTAACTAACCTTTTACACTAGTTGTGTTGTCAAATAAAATCTGCTACCCAGTACCCTCAGTTTTGTGTACCAGAATCAACAGTGGTGCTTAAAAAGAAAATTACAGGTCCTTCTCCAACTACCATACACCCCCTTCAGACTCAGTAAGTCTGGAGGTGGCTCAGGCATCTGTAAGTTTTTAAAGCCCTACAGTTTATTCAGATAGGCAGTCAAGGCTGAAATACTATGCTTTACAAATCACAGAAGCTGTACCGTTCAAGATTCTTAGGTGAACAAGGCCTCATGGCATGGTAGGAATAAGCATATACCAGCTATCAAGAGCTCAAGTCTTGGTTCTGGCACTCAGTAGCTAAGTGACTTTAAGCAGATTTCTTAAACTCTTTTGAACCTTAAAATGACCACCTTATAAAATACACGTATACACTATTATTACCCCGTTGCACAGGTAGATAACTGAGGTTCAGAAGACTTATGTAATTTGCTTAAAGAAGGTCACCAGGCCAAACCTAGAATACGTATCTCACTCCAGAAACCATTTTTCTTTTTTTTTTTTTTTTGAGACAGAGCCTCAAGCTGTCCTGGTAGAGTGCCGTGGCATTACAGCTCACAGCAACCTCCAACTCCTGGGCTCAAGCAAGTCTCCTGCCTCTGCCTCCCAAGCAGCTGGGACTACAGGTGCCCGCCACAACGCCCGGCTGTTTTTTGGTTGCAGCTGTCATTGTTGCTTTGGTGGGCCCTGGCTGGATTCGAACCCGCCACCTCAGGTGTAAGTGGCTGGTGCCTTAGCCGCTTGAGCCACAGGCGCCGAGCCCAGGGCCTAAATCTTAACCACTACACGCACCTTCTTCATTTTGAGATATTGTGACTCAGCTCCCTTGGTGTGGATCAGGGATAAATAACCTGGAGCTCAATCTGGCTCCCAACCGAAAGACAACACGGCAATGCTGTAACCGACCACACGGGAAAGCGGAGACACCGCTACAACCACCCTTTCTCCGCGGCGCCCCGGCAGCCAGGACGTGTCCTAACCGTAACTTTAAATCGCCCGCGAGCCCCGGCCCGGCCCAGCCCACCGCGCCGGGTCAGCGGAGGGTCGGATCCGGCCAGAAGATGCCTGTAAATTCTGGGAGCCTCAAGCGCGGCATCCTCGCGCCGCCTTTTCTTCAGGAAGGCGTAGTCGCACCAGGCTTTCCGCGTTTCCCACCCGACTTCAAGGCTCCAACTCGTCACACCGCGCCATCCCGCCGGGGTAGCAGCCACCGCCGCCGCCTCCAGGGTTCCTCCCCCGGAAATGACGCGCCGGAAGCGCCTCTCCGCCCACAGGGGGCGGGGAAGGAAGATGGCGGCGCCCAGCAGCCGGTGAGGAGAGAGGGCACGGGGGTTCCCGGGGGCGGCCGGACTCGCGCGCTATGGCCGCATCCCCGCATGCTCTCTCCTCACGCCTCCTGACAGGTAGTGTACCCGTCTGGGGGCACGACACTGGGGGGAAATTTAACTTTTCTGCCACGTGCAAGGCCGTAGTTCCGGTTAGCTGCAACCTTGGGAGCCCTTGATGAGGTCGGCTGGGCACCGGTGTCGGAGGAGGGGGCCTTTGGAGAAGCCTGGAGTGCAGGGTCCATTGAGCCAGGGTCCGGTCTTGCACTCTAGCCTCAGTGGTCCACAGCGCTTCCTCCATGCGACTGCCCGGAAAGAGCAGTGTCTGTGTTGCTTCTTTGGGTTTTCAGGTAGTGGAAGCTGGAGGAAAAGGCAGAGTACAACCTCAGGAGTAGAACCTCACGCCTCTTGGCTTATCAGAGCCTCAGTCCCTAGCCACTGGTTTATAATAACAAGAGAAGCACTTTGTTCCCACTCGGAAGCTTTGATGATAACGATGACTACAATGATAGTGACAGCTACAGAGAGAGAGAGCCATAGTCCCTCTCAGACTTTTGGGTTTGTACCGCCAGCATGGTCCCTGATATAATCCTCCCACTTGAAGGAGCCCAGATAAATGTAAATTGAAGCTGGAATGCTCTTTGGCCTTTTATAAGGTCTCAGCTCAACTGTCATCTTTACAGAAAGGCCTGTCTTGACTGTCCTAAGAAACGTGGAGTCCCCTATCTGTCTCTCTTCACATCATTTCATTTATTTCTTTCATTATAGTTAGCACAATCTATGACTTTTTAAATTTATGTATCAGTTTGTTATCTCTTTTTTTTAATTGGAATATAAAATTTGTGAAGGCAGGAACAGGGTCTGTCTCTGGTTTACCTCTGTATCCCCAGTGCCCAGAACAATATTTAGTGCACATTGTTGGCTTTCAGTAGTTATTTGTGAATGGATGAAATCTGTCCTGATGGAGATGTTAGAAAAGAAGCTGGGAATTGTTTTGTCCCAAGCATTTTTGGATTATAATTAATGACTGTGTGGGGAATGTGTTGTTGGTGGTCCATATTAGGGACTAGGTAGGAGAAGCCAGGGATTGACTTTTGATCATATCCCAGTGTTGGGACTCAGAAAACAATACCTCAAAATGAAGACCTCAGAAGCAACCTCAAAAACAAAAGTTTTTCCCTGACTTTCTCCTGCCCTCTTGTGTCTCAGACCCATTCTCCCCCAAAGCTTGTCATGGAAACTAAAAATCCCTCTTCCCTAGTGGGTTATAAAAACTAGAACCCCTTTTCTCCAAAGCCAGCCATAAAACCTAAAAATATCACTCTAATTTTCGTTCAACCTTTCTCTGTAAAAATTACCCAGAAAGACATTATTTGACCATGGTTTTGACTTACATTCTTGCCCCGTACCCAGAAGAAAGGAATGTAAATTCAGAAAGGCAAAGAGGAATCAACACAGGTCTTGATGGGTTTCCCCACTCAATCTATCAGCATTTTTGTCCAATCATATTTCTATGAGGTGGTCTATACTTTGTTGAACCTAAGCATAAAAATGGAGAATTTCACCTGTAGCTTTAGGTCTTCATTCTGAAGGCTCTTGTGTATACATGTTAAATAAATTTGTATGCATTTTCTCAATTTGCCTTTTGGTAGGTGATTTTTCAGTGAAACTCCAGAGGGCAAAAGCCCCAGATCTCTATACAAGAAACTTTTTCAGGCCTCACCACCCACAAGCTCTCTGCACTGTCTGGCAATGTTAATCACTGTGACTTCATGAAATTCCTTTCTTCCTTTCTCATAATGTTATTTTGTGGATCTCTTCTGGTCTGGGTGATCTCGGAGCAAGGCATTTGACTATTCTGGAGTTAAATTGGCTCATCTATAAAATGAGGTAATTGAACTAGATGATCTCAAAGGTCCCTTCTGGTTTATAAAGTGGAGAGTAGTAGAGAGGGAGAATAGGTGAAACCAGATTGGGCACAGTTTGATAATTGTTGAAGCTGGAGTATAAGGAAGGGGGGCTCATTGTGCTCTTTTGTTTTTATGACTGTAATTTTCCATAATAAAAAGTTTTTTTTTAAGACCTATGTTTCTTTTTGATTCACTTCTTTGTTACTTTCTGTCATCTCTGACTCTGCATGTTCTTTAATCCTGACACTAGATGCTCATTCTCAGAGGACTCATCCTTTCTGAGTGCTTGAATTATTTCCTGTGTATGGATGTTTCTGTAATGTGCAGTCCTCAGATTAGCTGTTTTTCCTTCTTTCCATTCCGTATTTTCAGCAATAGGACAATCCCTCTTGACTGCTCTGAATTCCCCAGTTCTGGTAGATGGGCTGCATATGGGCCACATGGTTTGTTGCTGGATCAGTCTTCCTTTGGAAGGAGTTAATAGCTTTCTTCCTGAAGCTGTGAACATAATTGTCAAAAATGTGCTAGTAAGTGGTCTATATGACTTCCTATGATCCAACTGGGAAGATTGTTCAAGAAAGCTCCATAGGGAAGCAGGATGGTGGGATTGGGGGGGGGGCACTAGGCCTGTATTAGGGATCTAGGAGTATCATGCCTAATTTTGCTTCTAAAAGTTCAAAGTATTTTATGCCTGTTAAAAGAATTTCAGGATGTTTCAGCTATCTGTCTCCTTACCTAATTTAAAAGCTCTATGATCATAAGTCTGTGTTGATGTATCCATTCCAATGGATATGATCATGTTTCCAGATTTTTAAGGTATCTTTGCAAACTCTGTATATTGTCAAACTTACATTTATCTATGTAGGACTGAAATATCTTTCAGTTTCTAGGCACTGATTCATGGAAATGTGACATGTTTTAATTAAATGAAGTGTTTTCATTACATACAAATACAGTTTTCTAGCTGTTTTTTCTTAATAATACTGTTCCATAAAATCTTGTTTGACTCACTTAATCTTGAGAGATATTTTCCAAGGTGTTTTCAGGGCAGACATATTTTCATGTTTATGGAAAATAACATTGTCATATTACCTGAGGCTTAAGTTTGTGATTTCACTGAAGAAGTGCTTTATTTCCAGTCTAAGGTAACTGCCAAGTATTTCAAAGGGCAGTGACAGTTCTCCTCAGTCCAGCAGAGCTGTGTGGGTCATCTGGTCATCACACATTATTTCATTAGTATATGGAAAGTACTCTGCTAGCTGTAGTAGCCAAGGCAGTGAGTCAAGCAGAGGCCCCTCCACCCAACCAGGGAACTTAAAAGTACATTGGCAAAGTGGAAACAATTTGGATTAAGAAGTGCCATAAAACATGTTATAAAGTATTTTAATAATAGAATATTTGAAAGAGACTTTGAAAATCTGACAGGTAGTGTGCGGAATACAAGCAAGGAAAGTATATAAAGAGAGAGGAGCACAGTTAGTGGGGGCCGCACTGCTTTGGTGAGTTGTGTGTACATATTTGGACGAGTGGTATGTATTCTGGGCTGCAGGAAGAAAATCGTTGGCATGATGGTATGTGGACTGAAGAAGGAATGTTCCCGAGCGCAGGATGACTGGGTTGAATCTTACTGTTGTTACCGTGTCCAAATGTATGGTAGTAAGGATCTGTATTAGGGAAAATGGAAAGAGGTAGACAGATTTGTCCTTCATTTCAGAGTTGCTGGTTATTAGGTGATAAAGGGAAAGTTCAAGATGTTCCTGAAGTCTAAAGTAATGGTTTTATATGCGCCAGGGAACAGAGTAGAGTTAGGTTGAGAATAAAGTGTTCTTAAAGTCATCATCTGGAGATGCCAAAGAGCACAGATGAAAGTAGACATAATGACTCTTAGAATTAATCAAAGGTTAGAAGTCGCCTTTGCTCGGGGGCAATAATTAGAGTTTGAAGAGTGGGGATACAGTTGCCGCACAGTGGCACACTGTGGCATCAAGAGGAGACCCCATAACAAAGGGAGATGTAGGATGTGGAGAACCAGGGACCTCTACTGTCATGGATGCCACCAAGAGAATTTATTATGTTGTACAGATTGTTGAAGGCTTGAGTAGGGTGAGGCCTAAGGCAGAGCACTGCATTTGTTGGTATTTAAGAAAGGATTAGTAGAATGATTAAAAGCTACATTTGGATACAATGAAAATAGTTTGATAGGTTCACACCTTATTGATAATTATTTCCACAATTTTTTTGTTGTTGTCTTTGTCTATATATATATATAATATAACATTTTATATGTATAATTTATTACTTAAAACATAAAATTTATATATAAATAAATGTATAAAATTAATTTATATATTAATAAATTTATGTATACATTTTATGTTTTAAGTAATACACTTTATATGTTTTTATATATGTTATATATAAATATATATATATATAATTTATTGGAAAAATTGTGCTTTTCATTTTCTACTTTTTTGAAGTGACTGGACTGGTTGTTTTGTATTTTTTCTTAAAAAGATTTGTGATGCAGTCATTTCAGCATTTAAGATAATAAAGCGTAATGGTCCTAAAATGAAGATTTTCCTTAGCCCTTCTAAAGGATTACACTGAGTTAAACAATGAATAGGGTTGATAAATTGCATTTATTCACAAATCTGGAATAGATAATCTCAGAGCTGTGACCCATCTCGTAATGTTGCACTCAACTTGGTAGTTGGCTTTGCTTCTGGGTATGTATAGTCATCCTTTGGTGGGAAGCCTTAATCATTTTTAACATTTCTTCTTCTCCACTCTATTATAGGCTGGGCAGGAGGATGTGTCTGGTATTTTGAAAGAAGAACCATCCAGGAATCCCCTCACAAGTTCATGCATCTTTTCAGGAATGCCAATAAGCGGTGGATTACATTTCAACACTTTAATTTCCTCAAACGCATGGTATGTTTACACGACTGTTCATACTCTTGTTACTTTATGCTTTTACTTTTCTCTGTATGAGAGAATTTTAGAAATTCCTGTTATAAGAAAAGTTTTAAGAAGTATTGTTTAAAAAAGACTTTTACTTAGTGTCCTCTTAAGTTTATCCAAAACTTTAATCTCTTGTTTTGATTATTCTTAACTGAAACCAGAATAATTCTGACATTTGAGGCTAAAAGTATGATCTTGAACTTATTGATTAAGTTTGGAGAAAGATTGAAAACTTCTGGCACATTTCAAGTAGGCTAAAACCAGAAAAGCTGAACTGTTGACCATACTGTTATACTACTTTTTAAATGCTTTGAAGTTTTGTGAATACTTCAGTAATACAGAAATAATTGTTTTAACAATGTGACCCTCTTATTTTCATAAATCAGCAGTACATTTAAAAGTTGTCTTAACACTTAACACTTCTGAATAACTCAAATAAATCAAGAGTTTTTGCAATTTGCTAGGCATTTCACAACAGACATCTTGGTCCTCTGTAGGCCTTTCAATTTGACTCTTTGATATTTTGAGCTGCCTGGTAACTTCTCTTACCAGTGAGAGTATTTGTCATTTTCTCAAGTATAAAACGGCAAAATCATATTCCAGGATGAAAGAATAGCAGAGTCATGATCTAAAATCCTATTTGACATTGTCTCATCTTTTTTTTTTAACTTAATTTGCCCACTGAAACTTAAAATAAATATAAAGTTAACATAAAACTGTAGTAAAACTTGGTATGTTGATAAGAGATTTAAATGTTTAAGTCATAGAAATGTTTAGGCTTTTTAAGTTAGTCATCAAGAATAATGGATATTTATTTATTTTTGAGACAAAGTCTCACTTTGTCGCCTTGGGTAGAATGCTATGGCATCACAGCTCACAGCAACCTCAAACTCTTGGGCTCAAGTGATCCTCTTGCCTTAGGCGCCCAAGTAGCTGGGACTAGAGGTGTCTGCCACAACTATCAGCTATTTTTAGAGATGGGGTCTCGCTCTGGCTCAGGGTGGTCTTGAACATTTGAGTTCAGGCAATCTGCCCACTTTGGCCTCCCAGAGTGCTGGGATTATAGGCATGAGCCACCGTGCCTGGCCTGAGAATAATGGATATTTAGAAGAGGAATTCAAATGTGTATAATACCTTTTTATATATAAACAGAACTGTTAATTCACACACGAGTTTTTAATTCTTACTTAAGGCTAGTGTTGTAATTTTGAGTCTTGAGCTTAGGTGGCTGTATATCCCGGGCTGCTTAGGACTGGCTATTGACTTTTGGTATGAAGCTTGGTTTTTTGGGGTTTTTTTTTTTTGTTTTTTTTAAAGACAGGCTCTCGTTTTGTTGCCTGGGCTACTGGGCTAGAATAAAGTGGCATCATCAGAGCTCACTGCAGCCTCAACTTCTTGGCTCAAATGGTCTTCCTGCCTCAGTCTTCAGAATAGCTGAAACTATAGGCATACACTACCACACCCGGCTAACTTTTAAGTTTTTCTTTTTTTTTTTAAATAGGGTCTTGCTGTTATCCAGGCTGGTCTCAAGCTCATGGCCTGAAGTAATCTTCCCGCCTTGGCCTCCCAAAGCGTTAGGATTACAGACGTGAGCCTCTGTGCCCAGCTTGCCTTGTTTTTAACACCTTTTGAGAAGATTGAGATATATATTATAGTGTAGAAAACTAAACAGTACCACACAGGTGTTAGTGATAGTTACTGATTTTTTCTATTAACTAGTAAAGACTGTCTGACTCCAAACCCCACAGTCTTTCGTCATACCACACAGCTGCAACATCAGTAAGTCCTGGATTATCATCTCCTACTACTGGGCCCCTCTCTGCACTGTTTGCTACAAACGTGGAAAGGCAACAGGTTGACCTGGGCTCTTGATTGTAGAAAACTTTTTCATTGAATTTGGAATGTTAAGCCTCCAGAGGAAATTCTGGAGGAGAATAATAAAAAATAAATTAATTTTTCTCTTAAGGAATTTATATTCCTGGCTTTTATAAGCCACAGAATTTGAAAATCGTCACTGAGGCATTAGTTTTTTTCTCTGTATCTCTTCGTATAGTGATTTTCACGTAACAAAAAGTATAAATACATGCTGAATTAATTAACCTTGAAGTTGTAGGAAACGCTTTCAAGTATCATAAAAGTTGAACTGATGCAAAATGTTACTAAATAGCCATTTGAGAGTAGTTTGGGCCTTCTGTTTTTAGTAACATGTGTTTATTTTGTTTGTTTAGTATGTCACACAACTGAACAGAAGCCTCAACCAGCAAGTTAAACCAAAGCCAGAACCACTGGCATCTCCTTTCCTTGAAAAGACATCTTCAGGTCGAGCTAAGCCTGAAATACGTGAGATGAGACCTCTTTCATCCCCCAGTGTATCTTTGTCCAGAAAGCCACATGAAAGGGAACTAATGGAACTAGAGTCAGCCTCAATCATTGAAGGCTCAGCAAATGTGGGAAAAGAGACAAAAGATGACAAGCAGTGGAAAGAGATGAAGCTGTGTGTGGATGATCTTCCAGGAATTCTGGCTCGACTGTCCAAAATCAAGCTCACAGGTACTTCATTCTTCTGATAGAGTTAGAGACATACTTGAAACTTTATTTTTAATTAAACAAAAAGCTAATTTGATTTACCATCCTGAAAGAAATAATTTGAAACTGCAATTCATCTCTTAGTATTATTCCTCTTCAATTTAATTGGGATTTGAAGTAAAATTTTCTGAATCCTATTTATACAGGATTGCAAGTAATATTGCATTGTGAGTATTCCACTAAAAATAGTTCTTCTTTCATTTGCAGTTAAAGTAGAGTGTTTATCCTGCTTATTTCTTTGTCTTCAGTGTTTTTTCTTCTACTGTGCTTTCAACATTCAATGAGATAATGAGTCTGTCGACTTCTGTTCTAAATTGGGAGGAATTGGACTGCTGGGCTTGGCGCGCCTCCATGGTGACCACTGAGACTCCCAGCTCACTAATGTGTTTTGCTTCTTGTATAGTCTCTGGGGTTGTTCCAGGTGTGTGGGGACTGGAACACCTGGAAAAGCACCTCTTTTCAGTGCTTTTCTGAAAGGAGATTTGGAACCAGATTTTTCTTTTTTCCTAATTCTAGCACTTTATACCAAATTTATTGCCATAATTCTGTCATTTGGTTGTCACAGCCACCTCATAAGTCAGACAAAGCATTATTATTATTATCCCATCGTATAGCTAAACTTTGACATAGCTCAGTCTGAGTTAACCCTGTTCAGAGGATATGTTATGAATCATTCTGCAAACTGAAGATTTGATCTCTTTTTTTCTTCTTGAATGAAAATAAAGAGACAGAACATAATGAATGAATGATAAGGTTAAACCAGATAGTCTTGGAGGACAGAATGTGGTAAATAATGTTATTGAGTCAAATGAACGGATGAGACAGGGTGAGACATTTGAGAGTATTAGGGAAAGAGAACTTTTGCTTGATTGCTTTTGAAGAGTTGAGCTTGAAATGCTAGATAAAATGATGTAACCCGGATCACTTGGTTCAGTGGCCAGCCTCACTTAAAGAAAATCCTCTTGTGGGTGGTGATGTGTAGACATAGGGGGTTTGGTAAAAAAGCTGAAGAATCTTATATGAGACACTGTGTAGCTCATAGTGTCTCGTTCTGTATGTGGGCTAAGCAAGGAATGGTCATGTTTCTAAAGGCGTTCTCTTGTCATCTACTTAAGTGGTCTGGGTGTCATGCTGTTGACGTGTCGAGAATGACGATAGATGGGTTACGTTCATAACGATGTCATCCCCAAGTTGAGGCCTCTCGGTCTGTAGCCTCAGACGTGGCCCCTGTCAGCAGGAGGAGCTGCTTTCTTCATGTGCACCATCATCTCACCCGTCTTCTCTGCAGATTAGTTTTCTCCTCTCTTGTCCCATTTCTGTCAGTAACACCAGCATCCTTTGCTTATGTTTAACACCTAACATTTATTACCAAGGGAATATTTTATAGTGCATGAAATTTACATTCTCATCCCCATTTCTGAAGGTGCTACCCTAATTCAGGTCCAGAAAACAGAGACCTTTGTTTTCTGCAGAGACCCTTGTTTTCTAGTTTTCAAAACTAAAGACCCTCATTTTCCTAGTTTTTCTAACTATTCTCTCTACCTTTCTTCTACCCCTGACACCCCCACACTGCAGTCCAGGACTGCCAGACTAATTTTCCCCAAACATTGCTTTGGATTTTTCTAACCTACACAAGAGTCTGCAGTTTCTCCCTGTTGCCACCGGCTGCAGCTCTGCCTGTTGTCAAGGGAACACTGTCGTTTGTATGGTCTGGAATAATCAAACTCTTTCCTTTCCCTGTTCCCTACCCTGCCATTTAGGTTAGTCCTTCCACCCCACCGTACTTGTCCCTCTGCCTCCATAGGAGACTGGTCTGCCTCCATGTAAGTGTCCAGACAGTCCCCTCCATTAAGCCTGTGCTTGGCCCCCAGTCTCCCTTAACATGATGCCTATAACATTTACTAGTCACTGGCACTCTAGGCAGTTCCTTAACCTTGTTGAGACCATTTTCACATCTAAAATGTATAAATAATAAATCATTTAAGAATTAAATAACATAATGCATTTATAGCATCCAACACCATGCCTAACACACAGGGGCCACTGAAAGCTTCCCAGTAATTACATTAAACACTTGATTGTCTATTTAATATATGGTGTATTTGCTGTGAGGTTGTTTCTGCCTGTGGAGGAGAGTTGAGGTGAGTGAGTATTTACTAGTCAGGGAAGTCAAGGAGTGGAATTATAAGCAGAGGGAGAAGTCTTTGCAAAAGCAGAGAAGTCTGAGAAATCCTGGCATGTTTAGAGAATGGCAGTGTGACTGAGCAACACTTGAGTGTCATGTAGAAAAGGCACTGCCAGGAGTCATGTTGTCATATCAGCCATATACCACCTCACTGGAAAGTCCTGGAATGTTCTTGGAGGAATATGATCACTTTATGTTTCATCTTATTCATTTCTTTTAAGAGTTTTTAAATTACTATTAAACTGGTATAGGCATATTGTAAAAAAAAAATTCAAATAATACAGAAGCATACATTTTTAAATTGAGAGAGTACCCTTTCCTTCCATGCTAGACAGAATTCCTGTATGAAATGGTACCCTCTCTACATAACACACATGCAGATGAAGCTGTGATCTCACACACACACACACACACACACACACACGGGTTCTGCAGGTTGCCATTTTCTCATAACCGAGTGTCTCTCACTGACAGTTTTACCTCACAGTATGCTGTTCCACTGTACGCATCTGTCTCTTTTAACTCTCCCATCCAGGTAAACACTAAGTGTTTCTAGTTCTTGCTATTAAACTAAATTTTGTGACTAACTTTTATCCACATAACTCTTTGTATACTTACAGGAGTCTGTTTGCAGGGTAAGTGTTGCACTGTAGTAGCTGGCTTTAAACATTGGACTTTCTGATAGATCACCCAGTTTGCTCCTCAGTGTAGTTTACACTTCCTCCAGTTGCGCGTGGGAATCCGATTCCCTCTGGTTAGTCTCCGGCCTGAGCAGTCGTTCCCAGTAAGAAAATCTTGTGTGAGTAAACTTTATTGTTTCAGTTTTGGTGGATTTAGCATCCTTTTCTCTATTTTGATGATTTGTATTTTGCCTTTTATTACTTGCTTGGGTCACTTCCTATTGCCTTTATGTACAGTTCCTCATTAAGTAAAGAAAATGCGCATTTCACCCATTATATTCATTACAAATATTTCTTTCACACTTTCTTTTTACCTTGTCGTATTTTGTTGTTAAGTTGTACTTTGTCTCACTGAGATTTTTGACTTTTACGTATTCATATTTACTTGTTTTTTTCATGCTTAGAAAGGTTTCACCACCCTCTGGTTATAAAAAAAATTCACTCATGTTTTCTTCTGAAACTTTTATATTTTTGTATATTCTCTAAGGTTTTGAGACCATCTGGAATATATTTCAGTAGAAGGAATAGGATTGATTAGGAAAACTGCTGTGGTAGTACTACTGAGTAAGGATCACCTGTTTTTGTAAATAAAATTTTATGGGGCCCAGCCGTGCAGCACACTTTCTGTGCAGATACCATGCCGCAGTGACGGTTGAGTAATTGTGACAGAAACCTTATGGCCTAAGAAGCCTGGAATATTTACTATTTGACCCTTTATAGTTTGCCAGCCTGCTTTCAGAGAGTACAGACTGAGAGACGAAAGAGTGCTGGCTGGCAAATAATGTTGGTAACCATTTGAGAAACAACTTGGGTGTGAACTGAGGTTGTGGTAGGGAAAGAGAGAAGGGGAGAGAGCATGGGAAACATTAAGGAGACAGCATGAACAGACCTCCCATAGGTGTAGCGGGTGCTACGGAGGCAGGAAATAAAAGTTGAGTGCATGGCGTGGCAAAGAATTTGAATACCTCACGTGAACAGGTATTCTCCAGCTCTCCAGCCCCTGTTCTTCCCCTGCCCAGCTCACTGAGAGAGAGCATCGTGTGCTGAACTGTGGAGCCAGACTCTCCATTTGCGCCCTGGCTCTTGCTAGCTGAGTGACCTTGAGCAAGTTCTGTAGTCTCTCTGTAATACCCCAGTTTACCCATTTGTAAAGGAGGGGTGATAATAATACCTACTTCCTAAGGTTGTTCTGAGTATTAAATGAGTTAACATTTGCAAATGACAAAAGTGCCTGGTGCATGTTAAGAGCTACACAGGTTTCTTTTCTTTTTTTTTTTTTGAGACAAGGTCTTGCTCTGTCATCTGGGCGAGAGTGCAGTGGCATCATCATAACTCCCCACAACCTCACCCTCCTGAGCTCAAGTGATCCTCTTGCTTCAGCCTCCCAAGTAGCTGAGACTACAGGTGTGTGCCATCAGAGCTGGCCAACTTTTCTATTTTTGTAGAGACAGGGTCTTGCTCTTGCTCAGGCTGGTCTTGAATTCCTAGGCTCAAGCAGTTTTTCCTCGTTGGCATTCCAAAGTGCTAGGATTACAGGTGTGAGCCATCGCACCCAGCCTATAGAAGTTTCTTAAAAAATAAATTTGATACCTGGTTGTATATATTCTATGCCCCAGGTATTTGAGTTTGCTGCCTCTGCCTAGAAAAACTTCCAGGCTTCTGGCAAGGAAAACTGGATGAATGATGATGTTGGGACTTAGAAATGTGAATATGGAAGGAAGAAACAGGCATAAGGAAAAGATGATGAGTTTGATTTTGGACAGATGAAATTCGAGTTATCCCTGGCATACCTGGGTGGAGAGGTCCACTAGGTGGATGGCTGTGAAGGACAAGAGCTCAGAACACTTGTCGGGAGGGGGTGTTCAGCGTGGAATTGGCACAGGGAGGCCAGGGTAGTAAGGGTTACCGAGGTCAGAGTGTAGTGACTAGAGCAGAGGGCCCAGGACAGGACTTTGAGGTATATCCCCTTTTAAGGATTGGGTAAGGTATGTAATGCAAACTACAGGGAAAGAAATGGTCAGAGGAAGAAAAAGACTGTGTCACAGAAACCAAAAGAGTAGAATTAATTAGTTCACAAAGGAAGTGATCAGCTCTGTCAA